AAGATAAAATAAAGAACAAATAGGAAACTTAAATCAATCTAATATGTTTCGCGTTTATTTAAGCTTCTTCAGAGATTGAAAGATAACAGACAAAAAGAGAGAAAACACTGATATTTTCAATTTTGTTTGGACCAGTTCTCATTGGTCAGTCATGTATCACGTGCATTAAAACCGTAGATAATTCTATGTGTATGTAAGTTTGTGAAGATACTTGTATGTCTAAGTGGGCATCAAATGATAATGTTCATACGTAATTATGTGTGTGTGTCTGGCAAGTGGGTGTTTTAATATCTATCTATCTATCTATCTATCTATCTATCTATCTATCTATCTATCTACAGTCTATTCCTATACATCTATCTATCCATCTATCTATCTTAGGCTGTTCCTATCTATTTATCTATCTAACTTATGGGTATGTCTTGATTAATACACTTAAGTCTATTTTTAATTCTGACCTTATTTTCCACTCCCCACACTTTAACATTCGGAAAAGAGGCAGCGCTTTATTTTTAAATTTGCTTAAAAATTCTTATAATGTTTTTATTATAATCTCTTATAATAAAACTATAAGTGGCGACCCAGAGACATTAGATAAAGAATTGGTCAGTATAAGTAGAACCCTACAACGTAGCAACTACTCTGGGTACATGGCAGCAGCCCCAAAAAACTGGGATAGGCGGGTACAAGAGCAGGGCAACAACACTCAGAAAACAGTCTGCCTGCCTTATGTGAAGGGGTTATCAGAGAAAATATAAAGGATCTACGGTCCATATAGCATCAGGACAACATTCAAAACCTTGACAACACTTCGCAGACATCTCTCATGAGTAACCCCCCCCATATAGGAGAACATGACTAAAAACTGTGTGTACGCTATCCCGTGCAGCTACGGAAAGAAGTATAAAGGGGAGACAGGCCGCCCCCCCCCTCAAGGTAAGGCTTCAAGAACACCAGAAAGCTGTAACACAAGGGGAAATGGAAAAATCAGGTGTGGCTGACCACATATGGAGAGAGAAGGGAGATCATCGCCCTCTGTGGGATCATGTTGAGATCATAGACAAGGAACACCATTGGAAAATTCGTAAACTTAAGGAATCAGCACATATGCTAGGCCACAAAAATCTCCTGAGCCGACCAAGCATAGAAATGAATACAATATGGAAACCAGTAATAAGGAGTGCCAGAGAAAAGTGATAATAACAACAAAAAAGTTGCAATATGAGCTTTGGTAAAAACATGAAATAATAACAGTAAAAATTGCAATATAAGCACTGGTAAAAATGGTTGCTAAAGACATTAGGTATATAATACAAGGACACAGTGGATAAAGGCGTTAGTTAGATCAAGTGACAAGACCCAAAGAGTGTGAGTTCAATACCCAGTTAAGGCAGTGGAGAAATTTCAGAAGGAAATTAACAGGAGATAACTGACAACTGACATCCATTAAACATGGCACGTGGAACTAGAACAGTCTACCCCAGTGAGCGAAATAAAGGGTTCAGTTCGACATTCAAACCACCTGAAGAAGGCCGGTACGTACAACGGCCGAAACGTTGTAATAAATATGGTGACAAAGATGAGGACAATAGTCCGAATAATGTAAATAATGTAAATAAAATAATAATGATAATAATATATTGCTCGACTTTGTATTGAGCACTTTTTTAAAAGTAAATGCTACGACCAGCGGATTTTTACTCCATCTGCTTTTTTACCCATTTTATATACGCACACACATAAACACACACACGCGCATATATATATATATATATATATATATATATATATATATATATATATATATATATATGTGTGTGTGTGTGTGTGTGTGTATATGTGTGTGTGTGTGTGAGAGAGAGTGTGTGTGTAATATAAAGGCTTAAACACTAATATTCTATGGTCATAATTTATTCCATTAAAAAATAAATACGATCCAATTCATCAGAGTTACAAATTAAAAAAATTGAATTTGTAGGTCTGATGAATTGAATTGTATTATTGATTCCAATGGAATAAATTATGACCATGGAATATTATTGTTTGAACCTTTTATTATATCTTACTCTGTCCTGGACATTGAGTTCTACCTGGATTCTATCCTCTTGGATTTATTTTTTTATTCAAATATATATGTATGTGTATGTATGTATGTATGTATGTATATATATTTTAGATATATGATTGCATATGTATGTGTATATTTACCACTAATATTATATATATATATATATATATATATATATATATATATATATATATGTGTGTGTGTGTCTGTGTGTGTTTGTGTGTGTGTGTGTGTGTGTATGTATATGGGAAAAAGACAGCTAGATGTTACGCGGTAAATATTACGTGCAGGTTCTTACAATATTTATGCTTTCTTGGCAGATTTTCTACTATCAAAATGCCGGGTACTTAATAACAATATTATCTCATATCTAATTCTTGGATTCTTCACTGAAATCCTGCTGTTAATGTCCAAGATTCGTAGGCGTAAACATTGAGAAGTCCAACGCAATAATACTTTGATTCATTTTTGAATTCATACTGGATTTTATGGTCGGCCTTAATGGGTCAGGTTTATAAGAAATCTCAAAGGGAAAGTCAAAGAATCGAAGAAAAAAAAATGCTTCAACGCAGACAACACTAGGAAGAAACGAGTCTTAAGTCTCTTTATTTCTCATATTTCTGGTTTTATTCTTTACTATTTATCTTTCATTTACTTATTTTTTTTATTTCGTATTTATTTGCTTTCATTTTGCGGTTGTCCTATTTTTTCTTTTGCAGTTCTTTGGAATCCGTCTATTTTAAAGACAGAATTGTGGCATCTGGCATCGCCCCCACCGAACCCAAGATTCCTGCACCAATTTAAGGGGACAGACATTTTTTTTGTTTTTGATTGTTTGTTTCATTCTACTGTACTTTTGCGGTCATATAACTAGTCACGATGAATTGATAAAAGAAAGTTAATACTTTTTAGATAGAGAAAGCAGATCTTGCCCAGCTGGCGGAGCCGAGAATACGCCGGCTGTATCATTTGAAGCAATCAAGCCAACAATTTTTAAACAAACCTTGAATAACCCAGAAATTATACTATGAAGAAATGAACAAGATACAAAAATAGAAAAGGTCTTTAAATAAAGATGTGTTTTTTAAACAGATTCATCCAAACTTTAAAGTAAGGCAATCCTAAGAAAACTACAATTCCTGCCAGGATTTAATATCGGTGAGCACAATCGTAATATAAGATATGCAAACACAGTATTGACTGCAGACCCAGATAGAAAACAACAGCTTATTTAGATCCAGAAATTCCTTTTAGATTTAATTTTTTTGTTTTTGGAGGTAATAATGGTTGCAGTTATACAAGTCTTACTTGGTTGTTGGGGAGGTGGAGAAGATGTGGATTCATGCCGATTCTGAATTTGATAGACAAACAGGAAATTATAATAAGGATATAAAGAGGGGGATCAGTTCTATATTACACTCAATATATAAACTGATCCCTTATTTTGTGGCTACGATTGTTTCTATCTCTATCTGTATCAGGCAGGATGTGTGTGTGTGTGTGTGTGTGTGTGTGTGTGTGTGTGTGTGTGTGTGTGTGTGTGTGTGTGTGTGTGTTTCGACGGATTTGCACCAAAATCTACATGCACATGCTCCAAGTTAGCGGGAAGGACAAGACCGACTTTGCATTTCCCAACTCCCATCGATAGTGGAAATAATCGAATTCTTCATACTTCTACGGCAGTTTCCATGTAGTTAGGCCATTTTGTACTGGCCAGAGTGAGAGCCTATACCTGGCTGCCACGAATAGGCAGGAAGATTCTATTGGCCAGCGTGAGAGCCAACAGCTGACTGACACAAATGTTAACTAGCATGCAAAAAACATCGATAGCTGCATTCGCCAAAAGTGGGAAAAATTTAAATCTGCATGGCACTTTACTCCAATTGGCTCATTCGCTTGCTTAAACTCAACATTGATTCTGATTCTGCAGAACTGGGTTAGGTGTGAAAAAGTATTCTATTTTCATTCGGTTTTTCCAGTTACGAGTCCTTTTTTTAAAGCTGAATGTTTTGTGTTCATTTTGTTTAGGAGTAACTATCAGTTGTAAGGGAGCAGAATGTCTGTTCATTTGCGTAACGGGCAGCCCAAAGTGCGCGCTACGAATTAGATGCGATCACAGTCGATGGCCTCAGGGGTCCGGGTTGAAATGCCTCAATAACGACGACGTATCATTCACCTGGCTAGTGTTGCGAGGTACCTCGTAGGATGGTAA